TGGCTGCTCATTAACCAAGTGAAATAAGCGCTATATACTTTGGAACGATTCACCGGTACTATGGCTTCCAGTGAACCACAATGGATGAGGTGATGGTTAAAATCGACTTTTGTAAGTACATAATAGCAATACTGTTTAAGCGTCCTGGGAAATAGCACACACTTCCTTTACAGCACTAGCCTAGATGGCATCTGCTAAATCGCTCTGTTTTTTTTCTTTTAACAAAATAGTATTTGAAATGAACGTTTGAAAATATCTTGGCTGACATATGAAAACAGTTGCTCCCGACTCACATCAACATCGCGAACGTAGGTGTCTGTCCAATATGGAAGCCAGGCACACAGAAAGAGCAACAGCGCAGTTGTACTTAATAGTGCTGCATTGTGCTCCTTTTGTTCACTGTTTTCGCCTTTTACATTGCGAATAAATGCTTCGGCTAACAGCCACCCAACTCCTTTTGTTGTCGTGCACGTCTCTGAATGAACACTTCGGTCAACGTGGGCGCCCGCTCAACGAGTCCACCACTATAAACCACGTAGGGGGTTTACGGAGACGACCCCCACCCCCCCCTCGCCTTCCCAGAGAGCACAGGGCTGGCGTAATCAGCGCGGTCATGCAGTATTATGAAAAGGATGGGGGCGGAACGAAAGGCCGACACAGCGAGAGGGAGACTGGGAAGTTAGCTTGAGGCAATATCGGTCAGCCAGACCCACGTGCCGACAACGAGGGCATCGCTGACGCACATCCTCTGCTGAGCCCTTGTTCTCTCTTTCGCTGCAAACAAGCCGCTCCACACGCATCCCAAATAACAGCTGATGATTGTCCTCCGCTCACCCTGGCTCCCCCCACGCGCACCTCGGCCCAAAGCTCGGAGCAGACATCACCCTTTAAGTCAATATCACCAACATCTACAGCTGGATGTTTATTTTTCAAAATGAAGGTTAACTACCTTGCTGACACAGGATTGCCCTTTCGGGGGCACAGCCCAATCTATTAGCCACAAATCACCCAAACTGCCTCTCCTCCCCGCCGGCCTCACAGAAGTCACCGGAGGGGTCGAATTTCCCACACGCTCGCAGGCGCCTAATAAGTCTAGCCTCAGATGTTGGGAGTTCCGTGGCTTCTCACAACGCTCCTCCATTGTGCGGCGCCCGTATGTGCAAATAGTGGCCCCCGCGGGGGCGCTAACGTCGCTGAGAGATGGTGAATAGTGCTGGGGAGGAGAGGGAGAACAAAAAAAAAAGGAGTGTACCACTGGGGAGGAGTGTACTCACGGCACTAAATGTGAGCGATTTACGTTCAATTACAAAGAGCGGCCTACGCAGGCCCTCCAGAGCCATGAATCGTCGTGGCGACGCAGACTTGATGGCTGTTGGGCTCTTCCGCACTAAATCAGCCACAAGGGGATCCACGGAGGTGTGGCCAACACAAACAATGCCGCCCCGTCAGGGGGCGACGTGCCGTTTCATGCCTGGAAATCCTCCATTTCCCTTCCTACTCCCCCCTCCCCACTGCCGGCGACAGGCGAAGGGACGTAAATTCTGGTCGAGGCATCTGATTCCGGGGGAGGCTTCCGTGGCATGGGGGAGAATGCGCTCCTGCGCCCAATTCGCATTTTGGACGCCAGACGCTAATGCAAAGCATGCGAAGCGACACAGCTCCATGTTTCAGTGCTAAATGGCCAAAAAAACAAAGCCTCTGCTTAGAAAATAAGAATACTTAGAGTCCTGAGTATCCATCAGACGACCACGACAAGTCCAGCTGGGCCAGTATGGGATTTCTTTTCATTGCTGTTGCACTCTCTGTAGGCCACATAATCCGCTTTTCGGATCAGAAAGTACTACTGCATTTGTACCAGAGCTATGGAGAAAGAACCTGCCTTGATGATCTACGAAGACAGGTCGATTTTTTTGGAGAAAAAGTCCAAAGCTTGCTCTGCTTGGATGACTTATTCGCAGCTCAGAAAGCAGAAGGGATTGCTTGGCTCCAAGCAGGAGTTGGGGAATTCCTCACTGCTGTACTGCAGTTTGGGGGATCTCAGTGTGCACCAGCTGCCCCCACCAAGGAACCTGCTCATGAGCTTCCTCATATTGGGCTCAACTGTCAAGCCACCAGACTGGTGCAGCCTTCACTCTTGTTTGTTTTCGACACCTGGCTAGACCCCTTGCCTAGTGATCTCACACAGGTAGGTCAATGTCATCTTCTCATTGGCTGAGGATGATCGTGGGAGCACCTCTGTGCTTCCTTGGACGACCCCTTGCAGTGCATGACAGTAAAATCAGAACCAGCCTGTTTCTCTTTTTCCGTGGGCCAGGCACAAAAGGACTCCTCTCTGTCTCCGTTCTGCTTGCACCATATCAGCCGGACTTTCTGTCATGAATTCTAATGCTTTGTAATTCACGCCAAATTCTTCTTTGCCACGCAGAGGCAGGGAACGGGACTTAGTACTATTTTTCTGAAATATGGAGGGAAGCGGCTGCCCGTAAATGAAGGCAGTTGTACTGTGACGTCCGGGGCCCCGTGAACATGGTGGTTCCGTGGTCCCAGTTGGCGGAGCTGGTCTTATCTCACTTCAGTCTGAAGAACCACAATTGGAGGAATCAAGCACCACAGAGACTTCCAGCTACACCAGATGTTTGAGCCAAATGTGGCCCATCTCGTTAAACCACCCCCCCCCCCTGGGTTGGACGGAGAAATCAATGAACGTGTGACTCCTTTCAGATAAAACAACAGCAGCCAAAGAGTATTTCTCAACAGACTACAAATGCAACGCTTGAGAGCTAATAGCTACTCGAACAATCGATAATGGCAAATTACCACAAATGAAACTATAAATACATATAAATAATAAATTATTTGACCGTCTCACAATGCAGCTTTTGCAAAGGGACCGTAAATCTGGTTTTTGTCACAGATTTGTTTGGCTTAACAGTCAATCTTCTTTGGCCCCAAGGACACAGGTGGGACAGAACCAGCTTCGCCGCGTTCGGATTTTTCAAAAGTCGGATCTCTAGTGAAAACGCGGCGTGCCGCGCCCAAAAGCAAATTCTCTTCTGGGTGGGAGAGGCGGAGCAGATACACAGGGAGGGGCCGGTCTTAAAGAACAGCTCTGAGATAAAGGGCCGCGTACACCGGGTCACGAAAACGCAGAACCAGCCTCTCATTACGCTGCCCACTGATGAAAATGAGCGCAAATGAAGCTCATTATCAAAAGACCATGACTAATGTCCCCCTTAAAAAAGGATGGCAATAAAGCACCATTTTTTTTTCTGGCGGCAAACTTTAATTTTACATTAAAGTGACCCCAAATGCAGGCCTGTGCTATGTGCCCCCGGCTGGGGCTGCATGGCCGGGGGCAGGACAGCTGCACTCGGCTGTGATGTAATTATGTCTAAGCTACAGCCTGCCGGCATGGCGGCTAATCAGGGCCCCTCTCTGATTGGGAGACGGCCTGTTTACGAGCCAGAAGTAAGGGGAGGGGCCGTGGTGTGTAGGGCCTGGCCTTTTCGGAAGGGTGGGGGTTGGCTGTTCAGGTCGTGGGCAGGGAAGGAACATTTGAAGTGCCAGGAGGGGCAATAAAAACTACACCTGGAACGCCATGGGACTCTCAGGGAGGGGTGGGGCTGGGCCAGAGGGGCCAGGGGGGCTGGGTCACCTCCTGTTTCCTTTCAGGGGGCCTTTTATAGCGGGACTTCAAACAGCACAGCCACCCCGCCCAGCTCCCTGTGCCGCTCTGTCGAGCATTACTGGCCATTCCCCCTCCAGACCAGCCTCACCCAGTGCCCATGGAAAAAAACACACGGCATGTCGTCACAGACTCTCCCGCTCACATTTCCAGCTATGGTATGAAATTTACGAGGCTAGATTCTTTCTTTTTTTTCTTTTTTACAAACAGACTCATTTTGTCTAACCAACTGGAAAGTGGCAGAATTCAATTTCACAGACGTGCTGCTTAATTCACCAATCGTTGACCACAGAGTGCGCGCTTACTCTTTAATGTTACCGTGCGAATACGCTTCAACAAAGGGCTTTAAAGCACGCCCGCAGATTAAAAGCACAATCTGATGTTAATTATTAAAATATAATCAGCACTGTGGAACGGCAGCATCGGGCTCTACCTGGAAAACCCGGCAAAGCTTATAACATATAGAGAGCACTTCCACATGAACGTCCAAACCAGAGGCACCTGGCTCAACACATATTTCACTTATTTTCTGCCTCAGTTGTATGTAACTTAAGATAAAAGCATGTTGTGTCCATAAAGGTGACAGACCTAAGACTTGCTGCTTTGTTTATAATGTCTGTACTGATTTCCACCAGAAGATGGACCAACCTACAAGTACTTTATGTTATGTAAGATGAAAGCAATGCGCGCACACACACACACACACACACACACAGTCACTCTCACAATAACAAGGTTCTGGGAAACTTTGTATGGAAAAGTACGATGGTCAGATATTATCTTTATGGGACAGGTGACGACGTCATCTCAAAGACAGACTTTCTGCATGTCCGAGCACCAGCCTGAACCGGTATTTACAGAACAGTCTCCCTTGCAGCAATGTGATGCTCTCTTAGAAATAAAACCAGAGTGAAATGTGCTGCCACTTGCAGTATAGGATGATGCCCCCCAGCCCTGTCCCCCCCCCCCATGTCAGAGAGCAGGCTGACTGGCGTACGCGAGAGTACTCGGCAAAGTGGCCGCGTCCCTAAACCCAAACATGAAGTTCCCCCCCCCCCCATCGCGTCACCGTGCCAGCCTGGCAGAGGTTTCATAGGAGCCCGGGTGCTTTTCATGGCCGGGGCCCCCATCCCGGTGGCTGTCCGGCCCTCGGCGGAGCCATATGGAGGCTGCCACAGAAACCACATCCCCTGCACAACCCTCACGTGCTCCACTAAACACACAGACAGACAGACCAATATACCCAACATGCCCTTAAGCACTAAGACAAGGCAGCAGTGTGAGTGTTCCTGAAAGGCAGCGCTGGGAAGCCTACCCCTTTGAAGTTCACCTTGGGCTCCACTCGCTTCCGCTTGCTGCCCTTTCGGTGGCCGCGACTGAAGTGAATCCATTTTGCAACCTGGGGAGAAAGAAAGGAGGGGGGAGAGAGAGAGAAAGAGAGAAAGACGGAGTGTGAGAGAAAATGGAGAGAGAGATACAGAATGAAAATGGGAGGAGAGCGGAAGGGAGAGACAGAGAGCGAGAGGGGAGGGGAGGGAGGGAGAGGAGGGTGACCAGGTGACAGAGCGCACGGCTAGTGAGCGAGCGAGAGAGCGAGCGAATGAGTATAAACAGACTTTAGGCACTCTTTCCATTGCTTAAGTGGAAAGACACACACGCACACAACCATGCAGAGTTCAGAAAGGACGCTCCTGACTGGCGAGTAACGCAATTAGCCATTTCAGTGCGCGGTCGCATAATGTTTTCATTGTGAGGCACTTGCAGATGAAGGAATAAAATGCAGCCCCCCCCCAACCCCCCCGACCACCACCACAAAAGTGCACGACAATAAAATCAGACATCAGCGGTGCCAGCTTTGTGCTGCTTCACCCGATCACCCAGACTTCAAGTGGAAAACATTCCCTTCAAGTTGTAAACGCGCGCATGCAGACACGCACACACGCACACACGCACACCCACGCATACACACGTATGCTCGCACAAACACGCAGGCAGCTTTCAATACGGATACTCTTTCAGGCAACAAAAGTACAGTTCATCCTGTTTCAAGCTGTATTTTTATCCTCATGGACAGAAGCAGCGCACTTAGTACAGAGCACAGCGCGTAAGAAAGCAGCACCTCCACACACACACACACACACACACACACACACACACACACACATACGTGTCCACACAGACTGGACAGCTTCAGCAAATGAACAGCAGCAGGCGAATCCTCCAGAGAGGAGGAGTGTCTGTGGTTCATTACCTCCTGTCTGACTTCTCCCACGACTGCCGTCCGGAGCCAAGCGGCGCTCCTGTGCAACAGGGGCTGCGGAGAGGAGAGCAGAGACACGGCGACATGCTGAGAGTGAGCTGTCGCCCCCCCCCCCCTGCCTTGGGAGGACAAAGGGGTGCTGGGTGGGGGGGGGTGGTGGAGAGAAGGCATGCGGGACTGGCTCCCTGCTCCTGCCGCCCGGCTCACCTCGACTGCTCCAGCTCAGCGGAGGAGAAGGAGACTGCCGAGGGGCGGGGGTGGGCGGAGGGGGGGGAGTGACGGACAAGAAGGGAGAGAGGAGAGAGGGAGCAGGTCATCCAGCCGGATTCCCCTCGGCGTGAGCCGGTAGCAGCGCCTGCTGATTCCTCTCACTGAAGTCGGCAAGCTGAGACTCACGAGTCAAACTCTGTTTGGCTCCACGGCAGCCAAGGGAGGGGCCACCGAGAGCACTGCAGCCTCCCTCTCCTTCTCTCTCACTCACTCTCTCTCTCCCTCTCCCTCTCTCTCACACAAGCGCAGGCGCTGCAGCTGTATAAGTAAAACATCACTATGTACTATATCAGAAACACACACACACACTCACTCCAAAGGCAGGTGGGTGTCAGCAGACAGACATATGAACGCGGGGGGCCGGGGAAGCAGAGCCAACGCTGGCCTCAGCGTGACACACAACCCCAGGCGATGCGACGGTCTCCCGCGCGTCGTCACGCCCGACTTTCAGCGAGGTGTCGCCCGGACCTTGTGTTTTGTGAACAGCGCTGTAGCGTATGAGCTATGGTGTCTTCGTCAGTGATCCTTCATGCGCCAAAGTGTCGCTGGTCAGTCTGAAACAGTCAGCGCCACATCCTGGCAGGGAGGAGCTTCCCTGTGATGCTTTGGGACCGGGGGGGCTTGTGAACAAACTGCAGCGTCTGCCGGAAGGGCCAGGAATATGGCGGGGGCAGGACCACACCCACCCTCCGGGTGTAACACCCAGGGCTTGAAATGAGAAAGCATGAGGCCCCTAGGGCAGCAGCCCTGAGGCACGCAGAGAGGGGTACACGTCACGGCGGGGGCCGGATGGCGACGTCCTGCACCGCGCGCAGCTGTCTGCATTCCCTCAGCGGGGACAGTGACAGAAAGCTCTCTGTCAGAACCCCGTTACGGCCGTGTAGTCAGAGGGAGTGGGAGCCCCAGAATGCAGGCCTGCTCCAGCACGGGGTGGTAGGCCAGTGAGCTCTCATTGTTTGTCGGGATACCAGGCATAGCTGTTTTATGGCCTAAATCGCACACCTCATTCCCGGCGTGACTGGCCGCTCGCTGCCCCCCCAACAGACGGTGCTCTGCTTCCCGGCTCAACAGGCCTTGTTTGTAAGGACTACCATCCCACGCAAAAAAAAAAAAACCAAAACAAAAAAAAATTATAATAAAAGCTAGGAACCACCCAGATTGGCTGTTCCTAGCCCACGGCTGTGCGGCCCGTCCGCAGAACAGGCCCGACCTGCTCCCACGGCCCCGGCGGCGAGTGGCGCTGTGTCTGTCCCACGCTCTGCACAGATAACACAACTATTCTGTCTGGGAATTTCTGCCCCGTATTGCCCCCTGCTTGCACCCCACGGTACATTATTATGTCTTGGCGCTTCCCCTCGGTATTTATCCAAGGTCCACATGAGAGTATCGTTATATCGGATATAACGATAAATCTTGTCAAGAGAACAAAGAGGAAAAGAATAAACAGCTTTAAAGGCAACGGTGCTTCTCCTCTTTCAAGAACCAGGCAGGCAGTATTGCTTATTGTTGGCTACTTAAATATATATTTTTTTAATTATAATAATAAATTGATACAACAAGGTGCAAAAAGACAGATTGTGTACCTCACCTCTGGAATGGCAGGATTATCCAGCCAGTCGGCGTAAATCACTTCGAGAGTGAGGCCTTGTCTGAAACAAACGGGAAAAGTACAGTTACTGTTCACGCTCAGGTGTATTGGGCAACAGCAACGCACAGACCAGTTAAAGAGCAAGACATTTTCAAATTACAGTAAAAGGCACCAGCGGTGTGGGTCTGGGGTGTAATTCCCCCCAAAAGCGGATGAAGTTTCCCAAGCATTTATCTCATTTGGCCCTGTGTACGAGCCACGGCCCAGGGTGAGCCATGCCTGGAGACCCAATTAATTTTTGTTTCCAGCAATTAAAGAAGACCACCCTGTTAGTATTCCTGTTTAACCCGAGCTCTTGTCTTTAACTGAGCTGCAATTAAAGGACCAAAGACCACTTCACTAGTCCAACACGTCATTGACCAAATGAATAAAGGCAGCAGATGCGATCCTGACCTGACCAATCAGAGCTATTACGCTCCGTAAATAAAGACAGGAGTTACTACAAGGAGCACTATGTCATTTTTATTATTTTGTTCCCTTATAAAACACAAGTTTAAAACTTAATGTTAACCATTTGAAATTATTTTTTATTTTAACTCAAAAGGTAAATTTTATCCAATCGACTAAAGGAGTGATTGACATTGAATGGATAAAGAACGAGAATACCTATAGCAGGTTTTTTTTTGTTTGTTTTTCCGTGCCACCGAATGAGAAAAGCTCCCAAAAGCAGGACACTGGGACATTATTGGTTACAAAGCCAGCCAATTGGAACCTATTGAAGCTGAAGTTCTGTGCCAAATATGTGCCATACTTCAGGGGATACCCTCTGCCAGCCCGCTGTCTCAGGTGGACTGCGGTGGCCCAGAAGAGGAGGGTGAAACAACGGCCTTTTCATCCGGGAGCTCTGCGTTTGTAGCGGGGGACCTCAGAAAGGTGGGCTGGACGCGATACCCCCCCCTTTCCCCCGGGTCTGCCTTTGCAGACCACCAGTGGAGGGTTAAGAAAGTCTACTGTCATGGTTATAAAAACATATCACGTTACAGCACTGCCTTTTTAATTAGTGTGCGTGGGGGTTAGACTTTTGTCTCAGGAATCAATCTCTCGTTAATCCCACCCCTGAAAAACGAAGCCACCCTGTGCCCACCCTCCGCGATGCCACTCGGATTCCTCTCAACCAGAAATGTTTACCGATCCAGATGCTATGCACACACAAATATTGACCGTCCTTAACTTCTGCTTTAATTCAATCAATCAGCGTGGGCAGCTGGGGCATGGTGCCGCATTAACCCCGCAGACTGGGGGGGGGTTAACGAAAGGCGGAACGGAAGGAAGGGGAGAACGGAGGAGCGACCGAGTAGGGGAGGAAAAGGATGAGGGGGAGGACAACTGAGAGAGACAGAAAGGCCGTGTGGGGAAAACAAACTGGGTTTGCCGTGAATTCAAATTTGAAATGGAGAGAGTGAAACAGAGGCAAAGAAGGAGGAGGGGAAGCGGATGAAAAAGAGTGACAGAGGATGGGAAGAAGGTGATGGAGAAACAGGGGCTCCACACCATGTAAACTTATTAAATGGATTCAGCCAAATAAAGGGGGGGGGGGCTCCTGAGTAATCTCCCCCCAGGACTGAGTGCTGCGGCAGACAAATAATCAGCCGATGGGAGAGCACACCTCACCTCACCCGACAGCCAGGAAGACCGCGAGGGGCTGCCGCAAGTGTAAATAAAGCTATAAGACGCGGCCTGCTTAGGTAAGACACCTGACGCACTGGGACGAGAGTGAAGGCAGCAGGGGAAAAGAAATTATGCAGACATGGATCACAGATTCGGCATTCAAGTATCCGGCACAGTTCTCACAGTTCTATCAGTATAAAAACTAAAAACAAGTAATACACACTTTAGTTCCTATGGAGTGACAGACTTCAGGCACCTTTCCATTTGTTTCTCCAGTGTTTACCTTGCAAATGTCTTGCGTTGCGTCAAATAATATAAGACTTAAAATATAAGTACAATAATCATTACTGTGTGAATATAAAAGGATTAAAAGAACCGTAAGAAATGTCACAATTCACTGTTCTTCAAGAGTAACATTCAACCATCTGGAAATTTCACCTCTCCGGATACGAGAGCTTTTTCTATACTAAACGCGCAGTAGGAGTTCACATCTCCACAGCGGCGAGCTGTCTGCTGCTACTCCACAGTGCACGGCCGAGCGGCGGAACAGGGGAGATCTTCATGAATTTTAGATGACAAGGGTGACAATGTCCCGTGAAGCTGGGTTTAATCTAAATGGAAACTTTGTCAGAACAAAGTGCATGTGTTCCTGTGCAGCCATTTTTAAAACAAACGTGAGCAATTCAGGATCTGTGGGGGATACAGGGGTGAAGGAGGTTACTGTACACAGGAGGTGTCAAGCTGGAAGGGTAGCCGTGGGGGGGGGGAAGATTTAATGGCACTTTTCCTCAAAAACAGGCGGTGGGACCCACTTTCCTCTAAGCCATTATTTTTTTGCCTGTTGGACTTAAGTGGGTTGAACATCAAACGCTGGTGAAACTGACAGAGTCTTAAAACAAAGCAGTCGTTCGACATCCACTTAGACTCACCTCTCTATTTCTGGAAAATGGTCCAAGAGCATTTGCAAGAAGTCCTGAGAAAGAAAATCTATTAGTTCCGCATCAGTGAAAGTCCTGTAAACAAATAGAACCACAGGAGTCCAGTGCAATGTGCTAAAAATGTCAAAAATGTAAATCTTAAGATCATTATAATTACTGTGTAAATACAACAGTCAGTGGTTTAGGAGTTAGAAATGTCTAAATTTCAGTCCAATAGGACTGGCGATTGTGTATTATATACCAGTAATATACCTGGCATACTAAACATCTACAAGTGGGACTTGTTGAAGCTCTCAGGAGAGCCAAGCTTAACAGTAATGAGGGAGGGTTATTGAAAAGCTAATGTAAAATTTGAAAACATCAACAATTAAATAAGTAATAAACCTTTTTTTTTAAAAAAAAAATCTGTGAGTAATTGTTTAGGAAGATGCAGAAAATCACCGACCTGTGAGAGAATGAGCCGGCCATGGTACTGTCTCACAAAATGGCGGAAGAAATTTAGAAAAGCTTCTTCACCAATTATGCTTGAGAAAAAGCTCAATAGGAAATAGCCCTGAAAGAGAAACATTCGTAATTGATCTACAACGACATTGACCCTGAAGTTTTGTCTCCAAAATGCTACATTTACTACGTGCTGAAAATATAAATATAATATAGGCTACCAGCTGAGTTTTCAGCAGTCTGCTTCCTTATAAGGTACGTTTGGATAATTTTAACTAGAGGGGCAACAGGACTGCATATACATATAGGGGTGCAGGTGCTGTCAGGAGACACTGTGGGGGCCTTAAGGTTAAGAGCCGCCGGAGATAGGCCAGTCACCATAAGCTGAGTAAGGTCAAGGAAAACGGTTCAAAAATCTGCACTTGTACTCAAGAACAGTGCTTAAGTGCAGTCGTGTGTCTCGACAGAAACCTGGGCCATCACGGTTACTCAAGCTAGATACTGGTAAAGTGGAATTAAAGAAAAAATGAAATGTGGAGTGATGTTCAGTGCCAGGGTTCTGGATGAGGAACGGAGGAGCGAGAGTGTGCAAGCCGGTAGAGGATATCCAAAGCCCCCAGTTCACCTCCCACCATGGAGACCCCTCCCTATCTGAGTCTCACCCTACAAATAAATGGTTGCTCTGGGGGAAAACAGCCCGCTAGTGGCTGGGGTAGGTCCTCGCTGACACACACGAGCGAGTAACAAATAAGCATCCTGCACAGAAGTAGGCCAGGCTGTACATGTCGTAGCCTGAGTGTGCCGGCTCGGAACGGAGGAAAAAATGATCTATTTGACGAAATGCTGAGAAACTTCAGGCTGCAACCCTTCAGACAAACGCCTTGTGACTCATCCATTCCATGTGGATTTGCACAGGATGTTGGGTCACAGTGAACAATCTAGACACAAACCAGCCTTCATATAAGAGATGTGTCTTCTTGTACACTTAATCGCACCTATCAGTTCTGATTACGCCTGTCTTGAGCAGTTTGTGCAAGATAAACAATACTCACTGAAGTACCCTACCAGGGCATTACGAAGAGTCTGAAAGGCATCTTTCTCACTTGCAAAAGTCTCAATGAAGTGCTCCCTTACGGAAATTTACAGATTTTCAGATGAACACATGCATCAAGTTGACAGAACTCCAGGTAGCTAAGTATGAAAGCATCTTACCTTCAGGTAGTGGACCTGCATGAACGCTTTGTCAGGATTCAGAGCGTGTTTCACCACAGAGGCCCCTGATTCGCTGACTTGTCCCGTGTTCTCCTTATTGGGTCTATAAATGAATAAAACACACACAAAGACACACACAGGTTTGTAATTATATCTTTGTGGGGATTCTCCTTTCATTTATTTGGGGAAAACTCTAATCCTAGCATGATTACCTTAACCCCTACCCAGCCCTAACCTTAACCATAAGCAACCAAACAAAATACGAGACTTATGGAATTTTTACTTTTTTGATTGCATACATGGATAAAGAAAATGGTCCCCACAACGTCAAACTAACAGGTTTTTATTATATTGTGGGGGGACATTTGGTCCCCACAATGTAATATAAACCTAATCCACACACACACACACACACACACACACACACACACACACAAGAGCTATCCATCAATTTAACACACTCCACACCCATTTATGAAAACATGCTGCTCCTGGCAACTCCTTCCTGAGACTGTAATCTCCATTCATGTATTGACACGCCAAATGTCTTTCCTTCGGGTCAGAAATGAGACAAGGACAGAGGGTGTGGCATCGATGTTTAATCAGCTGGGGTCTTATAGTAAAACTAGTAGCATGATCTTAACTTGTACAAATGAACCATAAGGAAATTTACAACACAACTTCTCAGTAGCATGATCCATACATGTCAGACCAACATGCAACAAGGCATTGATCAGAGAACTCATGAAGGTCATGTGACCTACTTAAAGGCTCAGCTTCAATCGACCCGTTAAATGGGGCACCTATCATTAGGTTCAGTCTCGTCCGTAAGCAAGCTGTACAAGGCAGCACAAAATAAACAGGAAATTGAATGATGCTGAACATTAATTAGCCAATGTAATGGGCCTGGGACCTTGTTCTCTGGAATCCCCCTTCTTGGGGGTTTGAGTCATAGATTAAACCAAGTTAAGACATCCTACAACCTCCGACCCAACCTGAGCAGGAAAATATAGGTCTGAAATGAACAAGCAAGCCCTTATCTTCTGCTACTCAAGGTAACAGGTACCATAAAAAGACATCTCACATGTTTGAAAAAGGACACAGAAAACGAGGGGAAGTATAAAAATATGCAGCATCAACAGATATTACAGGATTCTCTTTCCATGAAACAGAGAAGCACACGGCCCATACCGCAGCCTGACGACATCAAGCGGTCTCAGATGGCAGCGCCGGGTGACTTTGATTAATAATAGATGGTGAGGGGCGAAAGGGCGAGCCGCTGAGCTCGGAGGTGCACAGGAACACCATCTCAGCATCTCCTTTACCATGAACCCAAAAAAAACAACATACATGACAGATTCCTGACAACACGCTCCATATACATTTCATTTCGGTCCACGCACTGCATGTGTTTTTACGTCGATTATGAGTCACCAATGCCCCCCCCCATGGCCACCCCCGGTACATTGATCATTTTAAATGAACGCTTATGCTAGGTTAGTCACAAAAAACACAGAGTAGCCAACTCCAGTGACCGACAAAGTCAACTATGACACAGATGTATGTACTCATCGATCTTTCTGCATCAAATGGATTCGATTTGCTTTCAATATAATAGATTTATAATTAGACTTCCACAATGAAGAATTTATAATTACACAGACACACGAAAATCTTTCTTATAGCATTAGCGGATAAAAAAATTAGGCATTATTTCCTGAGATATTAAGTAGAGGTTATCTGGGGTTAAGGACCAATTACTGGGGCCTGATGTGTGTCACTAACCCCTATTATTTGTGGTCTTTATCAGATCTGCTCTGTTTTTGGCCATCTTTTACTGCTGTTGTTGTTGCTTTTTTCCCCAGTCTCCGCTCTGTGTGGTGGGGAGTGATAAGCCAGGGCCTGTTTTACAATGGGGGGGGGGGGGGGTGGAGGGTTGACCTCATCTCACCAGCTACCAAAGTGCAGATGGCTGTCAGGCACCCATCAAGCACAAACACCAAAACACACACAATGTGGGCAGGGGTGAATCATTGCCAGTCACCCCCTCTACACCCCATCTCAAACCCCTACCCTCTGATAAACACGGCAGTTACAAACAATAAGTTCCGGGCCTGGTCTGGCACCGAGAAGACCCGGGGAGAAAGAAAGAACAAAGAGAAAGAGAGAAAAAAAAACGAGAGCATAACTCATGCCGACAGGGAGGGCGGTTCCCGTACAAGACAGCCATCTTAATGTTGGGGGAGGGGCCGGCGAGAGACACGTGCCAGAGCGAGGGGAGCAGGTCCAGGCAGGATGGCGGCTTTACCTGCCAGACATCAGGCTCCAAGTCTCTCTGGGCAACACGGATTTCCCGCGTCTTCGGCTGTCCCCCAAAAAGGTCAGTCACGCGATGAGCGGCATCCACAGCCATACCGCGGACGTACCCCCGCGGTATCGAGATCGATTGCCGAAAGATAAACTTTTCTGGACAAGGTGCTGGGACACGTGGAGGTGGATCATGGGAAAAGCACATGCTTCCGGGCTCTGTGCGGGCTGCCCGGGACGCGCCGGATGTCACGGCTCCCCGGCTGGCATCTGGCTCTGCTTATCCCCCCCCATGCCACACACAGTAAAACTGCATTAGACACCATTCTGTGTGCATGGCGTGCATTAGCAGCCAGACGGCAGCCCTGCATCCCCTCGCCCCCACCCCGTCCCACCGCCAGAGCCAGGACATGGAGAAAGATGCGCGCACATGCCTGCGCACGGAGACACGCTACAAGGCCATTTGCGAAAGCGTGAGCACTGCTGTAAGAAGAGCTCGCCTTCATCTTGGGCACATAATGAACCTGTAATTCCAGCAATAAACCCTTAATCCCAGTAATGAACCTTTATTCTTAGCAATAATGCCTTAAGCCCCACAAGGAAAAACAAAAAAGAATAAAATCACAGCGTAAGATTCCGAACATACAGCGAAAGCAAGGGTGGCCCAGGACCCTCTTTTCCTGTCGGCCCAGAACAAAGGTTGAGAGGTGGGCAAACTCGCAACACACGAAACGTTATTCAGGGGCTTTTCCGCAGGCAGGGAGGCACGGGGCTGCGTGTACGTAAGACGGGTTAGGGATGCACTCGGTAACCGCGGCGACGATTAGCGCATCATGCTGCGCCATGTCCCAACTGCCGGGGCAAAGTCGTTATCTGAATAGTGATGACTCACCTGCCACTCCTATTAGCTCCTAATTGAAACGCGGCTCTCAGACACTCTGGCACTCTGGGAATCTAGCTGCTCATATAAGCAGTTTTCTTTGCCCGCCCCAGCTTTTGTCTGGGACATATTGTTGACGATGCCAACTCGGAGGCTACCTCAATTTACAAAAGTGAAGCAATATAGCTGCTGAATAAATCACAGTCGCCTTAAAAAATCTCAGGAAAGGCACGCTTCTGCCCAGCTTGAACAGTCCCCAAGGTCCTTGTGTCAGGAAGTTCTACGGCTTCGAGGGAAACCAGTAAAGTTGCAGTGAAACCATTAAAAACTCCACAACGTCTTGTGAAAATGGGGATCTTGTTTCAGTGAGAATACAGAACCGATCGTCGGGCTCACACTGGTCCGCAACCAGACTGCAACTCTACAGACAAAACTGGGTGGCGGGGGACTCAACCTGAGGATCTGAAGCTCCTCGTCGGAGTTCTGCAGCTCATCTCGGAGCCTCCTCCAGCACAGGAGGGCTTTCAGTTGGTACTGCTCCTCAGCCTGACAACGAGAGAGCTGAAGAAGAGAGAGAGGCCAGCAGGGCGCATCGTGATTAAGGAGTCTGGGTCAAATCACTGCATCCTCGACACTTACAGCTGTGTTTCTTAACCTGGGCCACGAGGAACCCCAGATGGTCCATGTTTTTGCTCCCGCCCAGCCTGCCAGACAGTCTGCATTTTTGCTGAGCTGGGAGGGAACAAAAAAGTGGACTGTCTGGCAGGGAGACGGGAGGGAGCAAAAACGTGAAGCTATCTGGGGGTCCCTAAAGACTGGGCTGAAAAACACTGCTCAATATCAGATATGCTGTTGCATAAATGATTAAAAGGAATGAGCTTTGCAGGTTACCGTGGTTACCGCCATAAGGTACACCAGTAAATAATGATACTGAGGTCAGGGAGGGTGAGAACGGGCCAAGGGCAAGAAGCACGCACCTAAACCCAACCCCACTCTACCCTGAAGAACCAGGAAGAATAAGAGGGGACAGGGTGGGGAGGGGGGGATACAATTTGTCAGGGTGATGAAAGAGAAATACATCATTCAAAGGGAAAGGGTACAAATCTATGGAAGAAAGAATCACGCATATCAGCTGTCGGATTAGCGAGTCACACAGTGCTCCCCTGAAGACCTGCCGTTTAGACGCGTACAAACCAAAGGCGGGGCTTTTAGGGAGCGCCTCGCCCTATCAAATCTAATCTGGCCACGCATGCCACCGAGCAAATCCCACGGTGTGTACGCAGTGTGCGGCCCTAACTGGTGCCCCTGGGCGGAACTCCTTACCGCTCGCTTTTTCCAGCCCAGTTCTAGATAATAAACACCAAACCAAGCAACTCCCACACACAGAAAGCCTCCATGTCATGAACTATAGCCAACTGCAATTACTGTATATGTGTACTAATACAATTTTTAATTTTACATTTTATATTACATGGTTTTCATCTAAAGACCTTTACACGGGTTACAGTATCAAAAAAGTGCAAAATATTTTGAGAAATGTGAAAGGTGAATTTACACAGACAGCCAAGGCAGTACTTTTACCAGTACTGTGAGTTCTCCTTTGTCAGCTCACATTTTTCATCCTAACCTGTTTAGTCTCCCTGAACACAACATCTATTGACTTTTACATAAAGAAAAAGTAACCAAAAAAGGAACTATACTTCCAAACAGCAGCAGATTCATCAGCCTCTTCTCTGCTTGAACGTCCATATAGAGGAGAAAGTGCTATAACAAACATGACTTGGGGTCATATGACCTCTATGATCATCAGTCTCAACATATGTGTGTGGTTTTTAAAGGCTCAGTGGATGTATATGGTTTTTCCTTGGATTTTAGGACCTATTTGAAGCTATTCTGGGATTCAAAATATTTATACTTGTGCTACAAACAGCTGGAAGAATTGTTTATGACCAAATGCGAAGCAAGTCAAACGTAAACGCTTTGAGGGCTTTGGGAGAAAATGAGGAATGGCTTGGCTGGGGCTGGGGCTGGGGCTGGGGCTGGGGCTGGGGGAGGACTTACCTTTTGTACTCGGGCCCAAAAGACATCCTCGAGGTAGGTGGCAAAGCCTTCGCTGATCCACTCCTCGGTCCAGTCCTGTGCCCCGATGGCGAGTCCGAACCAGGCGTGTGCGATCTCGTGGCACAGGCGGGCCCCGCAGAGCTGGGGGTCCCCCCCCAGGAGGCTCTGGGATAGGAACACCATGTGGGGGCTGAGAAAGACAGGTAAGGATGGCCGGTAATTTAACATCAGAGCGGAACAGCAAGGCACATCCACCCCACCCACAGTCTACAGGACAGATTAAAAGCTGCGTGAATGTATCACATATTTACTGTAAAGAGAGCAAATGCATTTCATGAAAGAGACTTAAAGATAACAGACTTGGCGGCAACGTTATATAAAAAAAAGACCAAGACAGATCAATACTGTCGGTCCGCCTCTTAGAGGGAAATGAAATGACGCTGTATTTTCCATTTGCAGGTACATCGGAATGCTTTGTTTGGCATATCCCATCCAGCTCTCCTTTACAGCATAGACAGATATGCAAGTGAGAATGAAAGCAGGGTCACGCTGTTTATCTGACACCACCAGAGCAGGTCGGGGGTTAAAGACTGAGCTCAAGGGCCCAACAGACACGTGACTGTGCTGCCAAGAGACAGGATCTGAACCAGTGTCACAGGCACCAATCACAGGCACAGAGGCCTAACCCGCTGAACCACACAGCGCCCCCTATGGGTCTCCCACCCGGCAGAGCGAGGAAAGGCTGGATGTGAGGCTCCAGATGACTGTAGGGCAGCAGGAAGCAGGCTGATCACAGTGCTGGAGCTAGAGTACGAATAAACAGACGTCTTTTATGAGCTTCAGTCCCAAGAGAGGCTACTGTGTGCTGATGAGTGAGACGTGCAAGATGTTTGGGACTGAAGTTACCAAAACGCAAGATTTTAATTAGAAACTATTATTATAATCACTATTAAAGGTATCGGGAGCCATGCAAGCTACACACTAAAAAAACAGAAAAAGTTGAATGATTTCCGCACCACGATGGTTTCTGCATGCGTCCGAACGCCTGACTCATTAATTTAAGGCAAAGAGACTTTTTTTGTGTGTTAACCGGTGAAGGAAAGTACAGATGATTTATCAGCAAAGTATCGAAGGTGCCCTTTGTCCGAGCAGAGAGCCTTATCGAGACGCAAAGCCAACCAAAGTGCAGACACAGGAAGGGAACCCACACCCACTCCTTTTGTGTCCCCGAGCCCGTGCATACCAGCGTAATGGTTAGCAAATGTGTGACGCTCTTCGTAACTACTCAGGCTGCTATATATTTATGCAGTCTTTCGTCTAAGACAGATTACCCAGGGACGATAAAAATGACCGCACATTAAAATAGGCTTCCATGGCTCCCCGAGAATTCCGACCAGGAAAACACGGTAACCGCTCTGGGCCCCGAGGAAAATAAGTAAACAAAAACAGTCGCAGACAAACGGGGTTATAAAGGGGCCTCCACTTGACTGGAGTGAAACAAACGCAAACCCTATGGATCCGCGCCTTGTGTTACCGCCGTTTTATTAATCCGCCTGAAGAGAACGGTGTGGCCCGTAGTCTCACCTTAATCTACCTTTAAATGCACTGGTAAAGTAAACAGCAAAATGACAACATCTTCTTCCGATTTTTGAACCTTAAACCTTGCCATTTAGTTCTTTAGTTAGCACAGGTGCTAAACACCAGGCAAGAGACAAGCAGGCCATATTGCTCTGTTCCACTGCCACTGTGTCCGAGTGTCTGCAGCCCAGTCCCACTGGCCATTGTCCTTTCCTACTGTGTCCTGAAGTAATGGAATACAACTGAAATTCTGAGAACTGTAATCAGACAGGGCAGTTTGAACGGACTAAAGGTGTAAGATAATGTGAAACACATCAGTAAAAATAAACATGTTCCAGCAGCAGCAATCAGCCAGCTGGCAGTCACGTGCCTGGACTGTGTGTGTGTGTGTGTGTGTGTAAGTCTACAGTCGCATTACATTAGTCAGTCATCGCCTCCCCATGTCCAGCTCACACTCAGGGGCACCAGCTGCATGTGACTCCAGGAGACAAACACAAACTGGCAGTACTATTCTGCTGGAAGCTGCGTGTTTTCGGTCACAAATCCAGTTCTGGGGTCTTGAGGTGGAGGAACACAAGCCTGGCATCAGGGGAGGTAGCAGCAAATCAGGTGGGTGGGGGGGGGGGTAGCCAGAGAGAGCCAATCAGATTCCACAAGTCTGCCACACTGCTTAATATGGTTCCAGTTCTGATTTCCCTGCTATGGTGAGAGTGGGATCCCGGTAATCCGCACATGCAAGTGGAAGCCGGCATTCCTCCAATGGACTTTGGAGCCCTTCAACTTCTCAAAACGCACCTCATCTGAGTGTGTACCTTCTCTCCACTGTATCAAGACACGTAGATGGAAAAGGGCATACTCACTCACTCACTCACTCTCTCTCTCTCCCTCTCCCTCTCTCCATCTCAGCAAGAGAGTCCGGCTCAATTAGAAAAGTGAATTACGGAACGAGAAGCTGAAGTGCAGGCCTGGATTCAGGAAGAAGAAAAAAATCTGTCTTGTCAAACAGGGGAAATGAGGGAATTACAATGAACAATTCTATTTAATTTCCTGCAGTTAAAAAAATATATTTCCCTGCAAAAGGAAACCCTATCCTTTTTCAAAATATATTTTTAAAGCAGACACACACACAGCATGACATGCGATTTCCTCCATTAGAAAATAAATAAGTCGAAAAACAATTGCCTGAAATTTGGGCCTTAGCAATGTCGCCGGGGACACGGAGGTAGCAAACTGCCATGCTCTCCAAATTTAGCTTTTAAGGGTCCATCTCATGGCCTTTCTGCATCCACCCTTCTTCAGCACGGTAAATGAAAGAGCAATCTGTTGTCCGTTCCTGTGCTACACAAAGGCAGCCTTTCACCATCTCCCCCACTGCAAACAGGCCCAGCCCGCTGGTGCGTGATTGTCACAAAGGGTCTGAATGCATCATCCTCATGTCAAACGTGGAGCCCTGGGCTCCGTCTGTGTCACGGCGAACGCGCATACGCCCCGATTCACACTTCAGCGCGCGTGACGCCTTGGCCCGCCTCGCTCGGATATAAACAACCTCAGACGTTCCGGAATTAACGACCTGGCGGCATTTCGGCGTAAACATTCCGTACTGGATGCACGTGAAGGTCATTGCACAGAGCCTCAGAGGTATTTATCACATTCATGTTACAGCAGCAAACGTATCCCATGATGCACCACTGTAAAGCCATGGCGTAATCACGCTGCACTTTCACACATAGCACAAGTTTTTATTTGGGACAAACACCCGTCTCCAGCAGTGGGACACAGGCTTTGATGATCACATGACCAGGGTCTGGTATGTGGATTCTTTCCACCTGTCTCTTGTTCCCTAGGTATAAATTGCGGGAATTTTGTCATTCTTAGTAATCAGGAAGTAACCTTTATTCTGATAGCTTGTTCCACACGCCTCCACAATAAGCCTTTTCTTTTTAATATTTCCTGCATAAGGATCCCTCTCTCTGCTCCACCATGTGCCCATGTGGTTCTGACCATCATGTCGCCCGGTGGAAGTGTGATACGGCGGCGAGCAGGAAGGGACCTGCGCGGTAATGGCGGGAGTTTGGATGTTTACTGAGCAGTATTTCATTCCCTGGGGCTTCAATGTCTTTTCAGGATCCAGTTAACAAGCAGTGACCAGCCTGGTGCCCCCATACGAAATCTGACTGTTAGGCGAGGTGCAGTTAAATGCTGCCGGTGTTTTGTTCTGTGTGGGAGTGTTGGGGTGGGGGGGGGGAGCTGTGTTTCAGAATCCACTGGAAGGAAACTCCACCCCCCTGCGGTCCATTTTAAAATGCCTGACTTCAAACGGTCGGCATTCCGGGCTCCTTGCAGCGCAGGCCTCCGACTCAGTGCCCCCGTAGCGCTCCTGCAGGGGGGGGCCCTGCATGTCTGTCCATTTCAGGGCTGGTGAGGTTTAGGGGGCGCGTGGCGAGGTTTAGGGGGCGCGTGGCGAGGTTTAGGGGGCGCGTGGCGAGGTTTAGGGGGCGCG